TTTTTTTTAAAATCTGCTACTAGGCTCCCAAAATCCTAGTATCATCAAACTTGAAACTTCATTCCAGAAACGTCAAACCACATTTTGAGAGATTCTGTGTGAGCCTGTGCTATGTGTTTGTGTGCTTTCTCCTATGCAACCATTGAGTCTTCCTGCTGGGAACAGAAGCACAACTTCAAATTCTGGTGCTGTCCCAAATGACACACAGTTGCTTCAATTCAGTATAGGTCTACCTCCACACATATATACTTTTCTTTCTTCATTTCTCCTGTCTTTTATCTTTGGCATGCATCATAACTCTCCCGTGGCACTTTTATTACAGGAAAGTGAAGGAATTCATGGAACAGCTAGTTCAGAAACACAGGCACTTTTGGATTTATAAATGAAAACATTCATTTTGCTGTTCTGCTCAGCTTTTGACACATTTCAACAACTTAACCAGATAAATGGGAGAAGAAGGATAGATGAACACAAGCTACATAAGAAACTTTAGGGAATCCAAAGAATTTCTATGTTAAATAAAAGTGGGAAAAAGTAACTATGTTGAATCACAAGGCGTTTGGTGAATTCATAACACACATTTTCTATATCGTGCGGTGTGGTTACTTCTCTGCATAAACACTCATGTATGTATTTAAGATCAGTGTCATATAATCAGATACTAATTCTACCAGTAGATATGAATTCACAGATATTTTCACATTAGTACTCTGCTAAAAACACTGCTGCTACAATCTGATAAAGACACCATTTTTAACTTGGTGGGGAGGGAAAGAGTGAAGTACTATGCAGGCAAGATGTATGAAGTGGCAGTCTGTCTGTGAGGAAATTTGTTGAGCTTACGAGTTGAATAAGATGAATCTCATCCATAAAAACTCAAAATAACACTTACAGAAGATATGCATATTTCTGAGCAACAGCTAGAGCATGAGGCAATAGCCTAGAATATTGTAAAAGACAAGGCACACCACCTTTTAAGCCACTGAATTGAGTTCAACTAACCTATTCCTGAAGCAGTTATTTAGGGTCATTTTATTCTCAGTGAAAAGAAAACCAGCATTTCTAAGGGGCAATTAATCTCATCATAAGACCAAAAGCTATGAAAAATCACATGGGTCAGCTAAGAAAAATGAATCCTGAAACCAGTTCTGGGAAAAACTGTAGAATCTCTAGAGAATTGCATAATGCAGGAAATTCATGCTTAAAATCAGGTGTAATTTTGACAACAGGTTTGGCTGGAAAGAAAAAAAATTCTGCTTACAGAGGAAAATGTTACAAATGTAAAAATGTTTAGTTTGAAAATTATGTAGATGGATGCATTTTAATTTTTCAGTCCAAAGAAGTAATTACTTAGTTGAGGGTAAAAAAAAAAGCCTTTATAGTGATGAATACATAAAAGAATGAGCTGGAACATATCACTAGGGGGCAAAATATTTTTAATTGACCTCCAAATTAAATTATTGATGTACTTACTTGTTTATTTGCTTGTGGACATCACTGAAAAAATATTACAGTATTCACTTTCCTTTTGGCTTCCAGATCAAAAAAAAACCACACTTCACCCCCTGCTCTAATCCGGGTTTGGGTGGGTTTAAGGAGAGGGTAATGAAATGCCAGCCAATATCCTTGCTCCATCTGAAACCCCTTCTGCATGACTCGGTGTCGCAATGCAAGTTACTGCTGGAATGTACTATGTAATTCTGGCAAGAAGTCAATAGACTCAAACTCCTCAAATAACCAAAGCATGGTACTAAGAAATCAGCAGAGCAGGCAGCAGCCCAGACAGCCAGTCCATTAGCAGCTTAACCACAGCAGATGTAAAGTCACCAACAAAACTCCCTACAGAGTCTCCCAAAGAGCCAGATGCTACTGCTATAAAAAGATCTTCTAGAAACTTGGCATGTCTCCTGCCCACATTTTTTTTTTAAGGAAACATTCTCTAGATAGGAGGTTACTTTTTTTTTTTTTTTTTTTTTTTTCAATTTGGGGTTAAGGGTAAGGGAAAGGAGGAGGGAAAGGGAAGGGGGAGATATTGCTTATTTATTCCAGTTTACTTGTGAGTGAATCTTGTGCTCATGAAAACAAAATTCAGCGACAGCGTGTCCTGAGATGCAGAAGGCAACAGGCACAATTCCAGCCTTCCACAATTCTCCCACGCACAGATTTGTTTATGCACCTTGGGCTGACCTGTGGATCCTTCCTCAAAGAACCCTGCCAATGCACTGGGGGTGAAACACCGGCTGTTACCTTCTTCTGTTCTACTTCACTGGGTCACTGGTGAGCCCAGTTTGCCCCATGTGCCACACTCTTGCCTTGCTCTCTTGGCTGGTGCACATCAACTCAGGTGGTTGTGTTTGGCCTGTTGGTCTTTGCCTCTCATGTTGCTCCCTCAAAGGACTACCAGCCCTCCAAGTTTTCCTCAAATATCTGTGAGACTCATGTAAGTCCCAGCTGCTGGATTCATGTGATGAGGGTGTTTCAGCTGTGATTTTAGTAACAGCAACAACAAAATTAATAACAAAAACAGTAATAAAGTGTAATCCTTATGGTACAGATACCATCTGTGCCAATAAGGTAGCTACTGAAGCCTAGGACAGATGGAGACACCACCTCTATAGATATCTGCACTTAGATGGGTGAATGTCACCTGTTTGCCCAGATGAAAAGCTCACCTGCATCTATGGATGAGGACAGATGTTATCTGAGGAATATATGGTGATATTCTGCAAGATTTAGATAGAGTACCTCAAAGTAACCCCTTACTGGGAGTCTGAGTAGCAGCAGGGTGGTGGCTTTGTGTTTATCAGTTGAGGAAGAAAGAAGCTGATGGCCCACTGGAGAGATTGCCTTTTCTCCTCCACCTAAGACGTGTCTGATGTGGTAGCTAAATATCTCTGAAAAGAAGTCAGAACAAACAACCATGCTTTGATCTTGAGGGAAATTTGGACAGGTCTAGCCCTAGACAACGCTAGGTAGGACTCACTGCATGATGCCAATAGCCCAATTTAGAGATGAGTTTTGGTGACAGAACCACAGGGGATGGAGGACAAAGCAAAGGTAGTCAGATGGTACCTGCTAGCAGAGTGTTTCAGTATGAAGCCCTCACCGTGCTCCTCAGTTGTATGAGTCCTAGAGCTCAAGGGGTCTTTAACCTAGAGATACCCTTGTAAGAGTATTGCAGAAGACAGGAGACATTCCCAAGTGATTCATGTCACCAGCAACAAAGAGAGGAAGAGATACATTGTCCAACTACTGTACATCTTTGATTCAAAAAAGTATTAGGCTGTCATTAACGTCTAAATATATATTTAGAAGAGAGTGAAGACAAGATGCCTATGAAATGGTTTGTTCCTATACAAACTAGGTACTAGGAAATCACAGGAGCTGAAGTTGAGAATGGAAGTGGACACCCACAAAAGGAGCCCTGAGAAAGAGATGGACCACTGGTGGTGCCTATCTCTGGTTTCCATCTCTGTCAGACTAGAGAAGTCCGAGTTGCTGATCTCAAGGTCTTATCAATGGCCTGTTCGACACATGGCTCTCTTCAGGACTGATGCTTCAGAGGTGGTTTCTTCAAAACCATAGATTGATGGTGACAATTTTTTTTTTTTTTTTTTTTTTCCATTTGCACCTTTGCGTACAGTTAACCCAGGCTGGATATAAGATATTCCTGTCATTACTAGCACCTTTCTACTCCTCGCTCTGCACTAGCTTTTTGAATTTCCTTTAGCATTTTATTGCTATTGACATCAGCTTGGTACTGCATTTAGTTCTCTAACTGCTGATTTTCTATAATGGCTATTCAATGATACCTTTTGTTACAGCTCATATACTCATGTAATGTGATAGTTTGTGTTCTCTTGTTCATAGCAGTTCTTCTCCGTAGCAATGACCTATTCAGCCATTACTATGAAGTTTGTATCCTGGCATTCCAGTGCTCCACTGATTATCTTTCCTCCACTAAGTTTCCAAGTTGACTGTTTTAACAATACCTCTTGTTTAAATGCAGTGTTGCATATTCAGATTTTTTGGTATTTCCGGACAAACTGTATCAGCTTCTAGCTTCTCCTCTTTCTGCCCCCAAAGGATATATATGTATTTTTTTTTTCTTTCTTTTTAAATTATTATTATTGCCCAGAAAATGAGCCAACTTAATCCATGTGCTTTTTTACACTTCTCAACTTTCTTTTGCCTCTACTGAGTTTTTTCCCAACAGCGTTTATTTCCTATCTCCCCTTCCCTCACACAGACACAGAAACAATGATGAAGCCAGGTGACAAAGAATCCCATGTTTTACTGCTAAAAGCTACAGGACCAAGATATGTATATTAGAACAATTTCATGTTTGCATTGGGAAAGACTTTTTACTTGTTTTGCAGGTCAGACGGTTAGAATGGGAAAGCATCCTTGTGGAGAAGAGATGCATTTTAGCAAACACTGTGTACACTTGTGTTTTGCTTTGGTTTTCTCTTACCTCTTACATGTTGATGGTGGTATCTTCCAAAGCTCAGAAACATGTGAACAAGGTTGTGTTTGTTGCAGTTGCTGGGCATTCTAATTTTACTGTTTTTTTCTGAAGACTAGGAGTGTTTCTTGTATACATGAGCTTTATACAACTGCTATAGTTTCTTTTCTCCCTTACTCTCTTATATCTATTTTTTTTTTTTTTTTTACAAATGCAATAAACACAAACAGAAAGATCTAGTTGTTTTGGAAGGAAGAGGGGAGGGAAGGATATGGCTACATGAAAAATATACTTTTTGATTGATTTAGTCATGAGAAAAAATCATCCCTTTTTTCTCCCCTCTCACTTAACAATTTTGTATTGCGGTTTATATTGTGTACAGAAAAAAAAATGACAATGCCCAGGTATTCATCTTTCAGATTCCAGTTTCTTCAGTTTTCTAAGTGTATTGAATCTCCACAGAGGCCACCCTCTTCCCATGAAGAAAGAGAAAACAAACAAATAAACATTTATCCAAATAACTTTAAGGACAGCACATTTTGTAGCTCTGTAATGGGAATCCAGGCTGAAAAATGAGAAGACATTCCATTACGTTGAAATCCAAGGCCAACATCTGGAGTTCTCGGCGCCTATCTTGTCCTAAAAATAAAGTTATTTTGAAGCATTAGAAGAAGAAAGAAGAAACAAACAATGCCACCAGAAATCAGCCTCAGTTGTCCTCATGCATCTGTACTCAGCTTATTGGCAGCAAGGGCTGCAGCTGAGTGTCTCTGCACTATGTAGATGCTAACTGACATCAAAGAGCAATCCCACAACAGGACAAAACATCCTTAGTCAGTCCCAACCCCACAGTCTTACACTCAGTGTGTAAATGATGGACAAAACATGGAAAGCAGTGATATGGGGAGGCAACATAGCCATGTCAGACATGAAGCCAGTGCAAAGACTCAGCTTTCCAGAAAAACAGTCCCATTCCTGAGCCACTAGACTGTTTCTCCTACTTCTGTTATCCCTCTATTATCTGTAACCAGTCTTCAATCTGCAACATTTGAGCACGGGGATTTCTCTTAGCTAAAGTCTAGATTTCAGGCAGGATTCAGTTCCTGAACCATAAGCATCTGATGCAATTTGAGAGGCCAGAGGCATTCAGAACATTCCCCTACAGGTGGCAAATATGACATAGTGTTTGTAGAAGATTTGTCCTTCTCAGAGTTGGCAGCTGGATTCCCTGCATCCATGTCCCCTCTTTGGATGACATGAATCATTCTACATGCTCCATCTAACTAAACCTCCTTTAGGTCTGAAAACAGAGATATCTTGTTTTCACATAGACACTTACTTGTAGGCATCTTGATTTCATGCAAACTGAGGAAGACTACGTCAGCCAGTGAAATACTGATGTCATATTCTAGGATTTCACCTACAGCTACACGAGTTCAAGCCACAAGGTTCAATTCACTTCCCCACACCTCAGCACCTAAAGCCACTTGAGATGTCCTAGAGTACCCTGCCTTGTTGACAACTGCCAGAAAACACTAGCCATTGCACCCCGTCTGTAAGGACATGGATATATGAGACACCCAGAACATCTCAAATAACACCATGAACCTACAGGTGGGACATCAAATTGAGCCTCTGCATACACACTATGGACTGTCCCTCCAGCTGTACTTCTCTACTACTTGAACTTATATATTTAAAGCTAAATAGGGTGGGTTTCTAACACAAGGTTAGTGTTGGAGAAGTAGGTATCTGAACAAGTCTGACAACATCCTACTTACTCCCAAAGATGTTCATTCCCAGTATTTTGGGCTGTTTGATTGGCTCCCATGAGTAGATATGCACCCAAGAGACAAGGCATGAGATAAGGTTGACTCTGTTCAGACACATTCAGTCACATGGCAAGGGGAGAGTTGTGTGCATTGCCTTCACAGGGGGTCCATGTAGTCCACTGCACATATCCCACAGCCCTGCTCCACACTGCAGCGATCACTGAACCACAAGTAGGGTATAGCGCTTTCCAGCTATGTGAGAAAGCTTAATGCATTCTGCTTCCCGTGTCTTTCCTGATGAACAGTGGAAAGAGTACATGTGCAGCCAATCTGGGAGTGTTCTCTACAGCAATGCCTACTGTGAAGGAAGACTAGCTGGCTATAACCCTGCAGAACGCTCGACCTGGATGAGCTGAAAAAAAACAGTGGAAGGGTCACTAATTGAAGATCTAATTGATTACTCTGTGTTATAAATAGCATGCAGCACCTAGGGACAAGCCAGTGGAGGGGCTGTATGCAAGAAAAGTCAATACAGAGTAGTCATAACAACTGTGCTCAGAAAATAAAGAACAAGAAAAGGAAAGACACGGTTCTGCTCTCACATTGGGATACAACTCTATCTTTCCTCCAGCATATGGGAATGGGCAAGTAACAAGAGCACTATTTTATTTTTGGACTCAGATCCAGATTCCCTCTGAGTGCAAATCCAGTGTTTTGGGATTTGTTTGTTATATGCTCTATGGCAAAGGGCCATCACCCTTTTAGGGGCAAAGACTGCATTTGTCTTTCCCTAAACCTTCCAATAGCAACAACAGGGAGTGGAAGATGTCACCACTGAATGATGCCAATCATGGTTCATTGGCAAATCAGTGGCACATTGGTCATCTGTGAGTCAGGAGCTCTCAGCAACCTTTCCAAAACCACCACAGCAAAGACACTCTTGCTGGCCCCTACGCTGCATCTCCCAGCCCTGTGCAAGCTTTACAGCCCACCACTGATCATTTGTCTTCTTCGGTGGCTGACGTTGCTTTAGGTGACTAGAATGACTTTTGCCATTGGAATGGGAATTTCCCACAGCAGTGGGTTTAGGGTAAGATTAAGGATTGAAACATCTCTAAGTAACAAGTAAGGATCACACTAGCTGTGCGATTACCCACTGTCGCCGTGGGCCAATCCAAATCTTTGGAATCCAAAACAGGGAGCCAGTGTTGGAAAACTGAGTGTGTGTCCAGAGAAGATAAATGCCTTTAAGAAAGAAAACTGGACCGTAATAAGGAAAGAAACCCAGTCATCTTTTTTTTGGCCAGTTTACATTTTGTTCAATTAAGTCTTGGAACAAAAGTCCCCAAAACCTGGACGTGACTCTTGCTTAACTCCCTTCCTGGGGTGCCAGTAAACATAATCAAAAGTCACCACACAACAGACAGGTCTCAGTGGGCATGGGATAATGTCAGCTCCAAATGCAAAACAAAGCCAGGCCTGGTCAAGACAAAGTAGAAAAATAAACCAGAGCAGAAAAAACAACAAACCCAAACCAACCAGAACAAATCTGAAAGAAGCCACTGCTTTTCCCAGTTTATCAAATACTTTGCAGAATAGATCGAGTTGGTTAACTCTCAGGTCAGACCTTCCCCAAGAGCTGAACAGAGATAAATAATGGTGAGTGTCAGCGGGCACCTTTTCCAGGAATACAAAAATAAATGATAATCAGGATATACTGGAAATAAAGTCCAGCTCATTGGCAATGGTGAGACAGAGATACCGTTAATGGTAATGTGGTTTGGAGAACATTTCTGAATAAAGCCAGAAGTGCTAGACAAAGTTCATGTATTTTCTTGGAAAACCACCCCATTTGCCAGGAGGTGTTGGGAGCCAGATTTATGGAAGGCCAGTAATTATCCTCCTAGTGTAGGTTCAGTGTCATAAGTATGTGTTACTTCTTATCTACTTTTCCCTGTATATTTTGCCCATTCTTTCTCTAGTCAGCTCAGTTCTATCTCCTTGCCTTTTTTAAGGAGAAATCTAGGAGCAGGGCCTTGTAAGTGGACATGAAAAATATGCATCCTTTGAAATATCCAGTCAATCACAAAAAAATGAGCACTTGTTCTTGGGAAATCAAATCCTTTTACAATATATTATGTTGGACTTCTAAAATAAAGGCATCCAGATTTACTAAACAATTGCAGAAAGGTGACTGATTTTCTGTGCACTTCATAGGATGAAGATGCCATTTTACTCATTTTGGTCCTACTTCCTTGTACAGCATGCTGAAAATATTAATTCTCTTTGACTAGTCACCTATACATTCTTCAACCTTATCTCAGATGCCAAAACCAAAATAATAGGATATGCAAGCAGGACAGAAGAGACTCACCTGGCGTTCAGTTAGCCATGATATGTTTCACAAAAGCTGGAAACAAGAGAAAGAGAAGAGTCATTTATCAATTCCCTTTTACTGAACTCAGTAACATCATTGTTGTCTTAACTTGGTTGTTATTTAAATTCGCTCTTCTTGCTTCCTCTGATGCAGTGAAGATCACACAACTTTGTACATAAGATTCCAGATACCAGGTGCTAAATGCTTTGTAAGTCCTTAATATACATACAGTGCAGTGTAGCCAGAAGTCTAGGTAGTCAGTGGAAATTAATACACACTTCAGTCAATCCATAGCTTGCTTAATCCCTTACCCCTGGCTGCCATATGGAACTGTCTTTCCAAAGTATACAGCCATGAGAAACTCTAGGACTTCATCTTGCAAGGCTGTCAAAACTTCAGCACATTTGTACTAAGTGAGAGGGCACTGAAGGTGCCTCTGGAGTGAACCTCCAGAATCCACAGGTCACCAAGTCAGGTAGTGTGACTCTATCTCTCTGGTGAACTCAGGTTTACAAACAAGCAAAGTATCTCAAAGTCAAACTAAGCTTTCATTTCAAAATGTTTTGGGTTCCTTTTTTCTCCATTTAAAAAAACATTTGTCATATATATATAATTTTGAAATTCAAAAGGAAAAGGAAAAATACATTTTGCACTAAGGGGATATTTTTTCCTTCCCAATAATGCCCCCATGCTATGAATTTCTCTGAATTCAACATAAGTTCATGAGTCATTTCCATTGACCAAATCTACAGACTTCTACCAATAAGCTACTTGTAAGAAATGTTTCCCTGAGCTCAGATCACTGGTATTTGTAAACAAAAGGAGACCACCAACCCAAATACTCATAAAAGGCTCAGTGAATATGACAGACCAGTTAAATCACCGAGATGACACAATGGTCAGTCCCCAGCTAACAATAAGGAGGACTCAACTGTGTACAAAAGTGCATGTTCATGATCCCTACTAGGTTACTGTGGTTTTATTGAACAGCCTGAAGCAGTAGGCTTGCAAAATGCAGGAGAGAACCACGGCCCATGTACTCATGACCAAACCTTTTTATTCTAGATTTCTACAATAGCAATAAAATAAAATGGTAGGTCTTTGGAAGGTCTTGTAGGATTCTTAGGACACCAGAGAGAATGCTAAAGATAACATTTTTTTTTGCTGAGTCTTTGAAGGAAAACTTAGTGATTTTCTGTAAGGAAGTCTGGAAAGGGATGCGTATCTCTTTTTGCCAAGACAAGGAACTGTGAGAACAGGTAGAAAAAGCAATGTAAATTTTTTTTTCAAAAAGACAAACAAAAGAAGAATATACAACCCTGCTTCCTGAAAGGGCCATGACCATTCAGCTATGGAAAACACAAGTAACCCTCAACAGATAGAGTATATCAGATAAATTATAGATTTTGAATTGGTCTAAAATTTGGAAAAACATACATCCTGCTCCAGATCTTCCACAGATTTAAACTTTCTCAAGATAATTACAACAAATCCCTCAAGCACATGAGCACTGCTCAGACTGCAGTGGTCATACCTACCTTCATAGTTGATACAGCCATTGGCATCTTCCTGACCAGCCATTAACTTATCAACTTCCTCTTCAGTCAACCTCTCACCTGGGTGGAAAGCAGAATACCTGTTCAATACCTGAGCCCTTTTTTAAGAATTTACGAAGCACAATTCAAAGAACCAAATACAAAAGAGAGTGAGAGGGAAGAGGGGGGGATTTTTCTCTTCAGTTTAATTTGTGGCACTAACTGCTAAGAGAGCTACTTTTGTACTTGCAAACTAAGAAAATTTGATCTGAAAACCATAAATATGGAATGAATATGGAAACCCACATGATATCATGTTGTCATACTCATTCTTCTAATAAAATAAAATAAAATGAAATAAACCAAAATAAAATACAATTAAATTAAAATAATAAAATAAAATAAAATAAAATAAAATAAAATAAAATAAAATAAAATAAAATAAAATAAAATAAAATAAAATAAAATAAAATAAAATAAAATAAAATAAAATAAAATAAAATAAAATGTATTGGGTGTGGCCTGCTGTTCATGTTGTTCCACTTTTCCATCACTGAGTTCTGGCACACAGGGACAAGTCCTCAGATGGCATGAACCTGTGAAAATTCTACTAATTTTTTGAAAATTGAACAGAAAAGCATGCTAATTTACAGAATAATTAGCTGTGCCTAGGATTTGACCAGTATTTAGAGATGCAAAAGCAGGCTAATTTACAGAATAATTGGCTGTGCCTAGGAATTGACCAGTATTTAGAGGTGTCACTCTAAAGAGAACTGTTAATTTTTAAGATTGAAATACTTCCTATCAGTGCTTGAAAATCAGACATTGCCACATTGTTCTGGGTTACTGGAAACAGAAGGGTAAACGCAAAAGTAGTTCTTGTAGTACTATGAGACTCACAGAACTGCCCACAATGGTTTCTTTGTCCCAGGTAAGGTTAGACAGGGCACCAGTCCTGACTCTGGATTTTTTTTTTTTTGTCATCACTTAATTTGGTCCCCAAGCTAATCCAATAGCATCAGTGATAAAAAGGAAACTAGTATTGCTTTCTTTTCTTATTCCATGTGTCATAAATAGACACAGATATGACATTGAATGAAAAGCCCTGGGTAGAAAAAGTTTGGCTTCTTGTGTTGATATCCCAGGTCAAAACCTATCATTGGAACCCCTTTGGTTTAAACCAAATCTCTTTTGTAAAGGTTCATCCTTTTTTAAAAAATAGTGGACAAACACTACTGGAAAAATCTGATCTTGAGAAATGCTTAATGGATTCAGATTATAACATGTCAGTGCCTTCTAATCCAAATAGGAAACCTGTCATTAATATATATCCAAACTTTCTGTCCTGCCCTCGTTCTGCTGTCATCACTCTCTGTGAAAAAAATTGAGAGGATAGACAATTATTGATCCCTCCTTTAAAAACAGGGGCTTTACTTTTCAGAGAAATTTCTGCTAAACAGATGACTGATAAAGAAGTGTTTCCTCTTGAAACTTTTCTTCAGGGTGCAGAAAAATTGAGACAAATATTGAAGGAATAGATGGGGTTTCCTATTTTTGGATAACTTCATGGTGATAGAAATAGAATATTTACTGGAGAAATAAAACACTAGAACAAAGAAGAAAGGAAGGATGGAAGGAGGAAAGATAAATATTGGATCTGTATGTAGGCCAGTGATTCTTAGCTTCATTATTAAAGAACTTTTTAAAGTCTTTATAATAGCTGAAGTCTTCCAAGTCATTTTCTCTATAAAGACTACCCTTAATGATACAAGCTGTATGGGAAAGACCTCAGTGATGAAACTGCAGGAAGAAAGTTTCCCCTTACCCAATGTAGCTAAAACGTGGCGGAGTTCAGCCCCCATCACAGTTCCATTTCCCTCCTTGTCGAACACGCGCAGACCCTCCACAAAGTCCTCATAGGTGCCCGTGTCTTTTGTCTTGGCAATATGCTGGAGCATGGGCAGGAAGGTCTCAAAGTCGATCATCTTGGAGTTCATTTCTACAAAAACACAGATGGAAATGAAAGTTTTGGTGGATTCTGGGAGAGAAGAGGCCTAACCATGGGGCATCCACCATGGGTAGGTGATGAGGGTAGAAGAACTGTGGTAATAAATGCCAGCTAAAGGGGAGAGAAGAGCATAAAAATATCACAAATGTAGATGGAAGAATGGATAGTCAGAGTGGGAAAGAGGTCTAGCAAAGAAAGAAATATGAGTTTTTAATAGAGAGATAGAGAGATAGATAGATAGATAGATAGAGAGAGAGAGAGAGAGAGAGAGAGAAAGGTAGGTATGTCCTTGTATCTGACATAAAATAAACACCAAGGAAAAAATATACTTAGGCTCCCAAGGCTGTTTCATGAGACAGAAAAGTATGAAATTGAGCAAAAGACAGTAGGAGAAGCTCATTCCTAATACAAAATCAGCTTTTCTTTGCAGCCCCATAATGCAGAGATGTTTAAAGTCGTACTGCGAAAGGAGCTTCAGAGCAAATAGGCAGGACCAGGTCTGTCTGTCCCATTTCCCTGATCCTTTGCCTTTCAAATGCATTAGAGAGCATTTTGTTCCCATATGACTCCTTGTCCTACCTTGCCATATCCTCACATCTCCTAGTTGTTGAACAAGGCATTCATTCTCAGTTCCTCTTCAGTGGAAAGAAAAGACAGAGAAGTAATCTAGAAAATGTCTGCATGTATATACAGTCTGAGAGAAATTTCCTTTGTTCTGAAGAGATCTCCAGTGTACGGTGAATACTGGAGGGAGATATGACTGCAATCGTTACAGACCTTCTAACACAGACTTTTGTAGAACAATCTGTGCCTTCACAATCAGTCTATCCCTTTGTTTCTTTGGATGTCTTCAAAATGTCTGCATTTTTAGTAAACACATGTGAATGCTTGTCATCAAAGCAATTTTAAAAAACAAAAACTTGTCATTGTAAAACACACTGACGCACAGGGCCATTAAATTAACTCATTTTCCTAAATCTGAGACAATTATATTGACTGCAAGATCACTTTTTTCCTCGTTTACTTTTCTGTTAGTGATTTGTAGAGGCTGTTCCATATCCTTTGTTCTTTCACAATTAATCTTTCCATCAGAAAATGGAGTCCTCATCTGCTTCACGAGTAATTCTTGGAGTGATCTTTTTTCAAAACAAGCACAGAGAACACCCACCTTCTGGTTTGGGTCTGCCAAGCACTTTCATGACCTCAGCCTGAGTTGGATTCTGCCCCAAAGCTCTCAGGACATCTCCACATTGTGCATATGTGATTTTCATCTCAGATTTAGGAGTCCGGTCGAAGAGTGAGAATGCTTCCTTAAATTCTGCAAGACAAAAATGTAAAAACAAATGCAAGTCACACTCCCTCAGATAAAGTCAAAGCAAGCCTAGACCTTCCCCCTAGCTAACTTTGCCTGACCCTTTTATTTTGCAGTTTGGGAACAAGTTTGATGAGCTTCATTGTTGCTGTTATCTGCAATGTTTGTGTTCCTCCTCCCCTGCAGTTTTCAGTTCAGTCAGGGAATGGAATCAGAAAGGTCAAATGCTCTTCTCGTGGTATTTCTGTCACAGCTAACATAGGGAAGTGCAGAAAACCTTTTAGAAATGGTTGACCTTGAGAGCTTTCCAGCTCATCGGGAGCACTCAGGATGGCACAGAATTCAACAGCAGTTCTGCCCATTAGTTAACTGGATATTGTATTCAACACTATAGAGAGAGCGCTAAGACAACCCTCTGAGTAGCAGGTACCAAGATATGCCACGATAACCTACTGGAATCATCACACAACAAGCAGTCTATTGGTGGAGATACCAAAGGCATATGGAAAACCTTACAATTGATCAGCTGTTGTATTTAACAGTGTCAAGGAGCACATCTAGAAGAACCCTCTGATTTTTCTTTTTTCTAGCACCCAGCTCAATTGCATCTGGAGAAGTAAGGTTTGGCATGCCATCAGCTACCAACAGCAGGCCAGATGTCATGTGTGGAGATGAAACCATTCCCTCCAGTGGTTTCACAGCTGCCTACTTTCCCTTGTGCATCTATGCAGATCCCTTCCCCTTACAAGACAGACAGCTTTCCTCCACTACATATATCCTCACGTTTTTTCTTTACTTCTGGATGAAGAGGGAGTCCCTTACCACTACGAGCAGCCATATCTTGAAAAGATCATTCCCACGGGAGTGAAACCCACTTCTACTACTAATTACATGCAGACATGGTCTTTAGGGACATGGTTTAGTGGCGGACTTGGCAGTGTTAGGTTAACAGTTTGACTCGATGATCTTACAGATCTTTCCCAATCTAAATGATTCTATGATTCTGATTAATGGGGTCCATGCAGGATCCCAGGGTAGACTTCCCCAGACACACTAATTAATCAGGTTCATATCTCCCTGCTGGAGTTTCAGACACATTTCAGAGACGGAGGAACATCTCAGGGTGCAAGCAACAGTAATAGGACTTATCCTATTTGTGTTTACTGAGCACACTGCATAGACCACGGTCTACGAGTGATCACAAATATCCCTTTGGCTTTAAAGCTGTGAATCCATAAATCTGCCCCTTGTCCTGTTGTTGCTTTTCTCTGTATGTTTCCCTCCCACTCCCCAAAGACAGTGAGGCTGTCTTTTTTTTCCCCCACTTCCTGACTCATTCAACCACTCAGCCATACACCCTGCATGCCAGATTTTCTCCATCCTTTTCTTCTCAATTCCTTCTCCCCAACATCATTTGGCATCCCTCTTTTTTTTCTCTCTTCTCCTTTGCTTATTTCTCTCTCTCCTTCCTCCTTCTAGTGTTGCTGGGTTTGCCTCCCCTCCTTTCTCCCTCCCTTTTTGTTTTTATCATTTCATTCATACCTTACTCATTTCCTTCTTCATCCAACACTTTCAAACAATGACGCATTTTCTCATTTTGGACTAATTAATATTCTTCTTGTTTTCTTTGCATTCTCCTTTTTGCTCTCTCTTTCTCTCCCTGACTCTCCTGGATCTTTGCCTCCGTCACCAGCCGGAGCCCAGGCCCCATTGGCAGCCCTCATTCCAGCAGAGGGCAATAGTGGATTTTCATGGGCTCCTTGCTGAGAGTGGAAGGGGGCCAGAGCCCCACTCCTAGCTCCATCCTCTCCTGGGGGTCTCAGCAGCTGAGATGGATGAGAAATACACCTACCTCCCTGAGCTGCTCATCCACCTGCCTCTTACCTATTCCCCGAGACCAACTACCTGAGCACCCTTCGCACCATTTCTGAAAGGTTCACAATTCATCATAGTTACTGGCAGCTCACTTTTTTTTTTTTTTTTTTTTAATTTAAAATCAAATGTAACCGCCTCTCACCAGAGCATTGGCCTGTGGGTTTGGAAATCCCATTTTGTCAATATACAGAGGCAGATTTCTTTTTTTGTTGTTGTTTGTTTGCATTTGCTGGCTTAATTCAAGTTTCCATCAAAGCAATGAAACCAGCATGGCTATGGTCTCCTTTGTCCTCCGACTAGCCATTAAACCACTGGCAGAAACAGTGTATATTTTCATATGCCTAATTGCTACTTATATTCTCATATTGAATAGCTCATATTCTTCTTTTTTCAGCAATTTAGGAGTCTGAAGAGGCAAGGAATCCAGTTTCATAAATACACATTGCCACAAGTAATGAATTTCACTCGCAGCTGAGGCAGGAGGACATATAACGATGGGTGTGTTACACATGACTTCACCCACAGACAGTTCTTCTCCTTCAAAGAGTAACATTTTGGGGGCTAACATAATAATGAATCCTTGCAGGAGAGTAAACCTGGTGCAGCAAGGTCTTTTCCCTAGCAAGAGGAAGAGGTTCAGAGTATCCTAGAAGATAGACCTGGAAAATACCCTGAGATGCTGCATTGTCTGTTTCTCCTCCACTACCTCAATTCAGAATCAGCTTCCAGAAAACCAGTTGGGGTCAATGGTGACAGACTAACAGCCATTAATATCTAACACATAAGATAGACTTCCTATTATTGATTTAGTTTCAACTGACAAATGGGAAAGCACCTACTCTCACTGAGACACCTAGGTCTTCATCTGGTCAACAAAAAGAGAAAGGGGGGTGGGGGGGATTATTATACATTAGAGGTCTATATTTTAATAAACATGTATAAAGGTATGACAGGTGACCTTGACCTCTTGATGGCTTCTTGAAAGAGGAAATTTGACAAAATTAACAGTGCAGCACAGAGCTGAAAATGAACCCAGAACAAAGCAAGTGTAACTGAAACCCAGAAGAAAGGGAGAGCTGGCAATCTTGGAAGTTTCAGAGAGTGAGGAGAGAATGGGAAGGAGAAAACAAATAAAAAAGACGCATTCTAGAGCTCCTGTGAGTCTCAAGTCATGCCAACAGTCAGTATAACAATTATAAATCATATCAAGTGGTGCTTGCTTTCTTATCGGTGCTTTTAACACAAAATAAAACAGTCCCAAGAACTGAAATACTGATTGTCCACTTTCTTAAACTGGCAGCACACTTCTTAACAAGTTTTTGACATGTGCAAACTAATATAGATGACAACGCATGCCAGGGACAATCCAGGGACAACTGTAGACTATGCTGTAGATATAATTCTACATCTGAAGCATCTCAGCTGTACCTAGGAGTAAATATCTATCTAGCAACTATCAATCTGTCTGCCTGTTCACCTATGAACCTAAGAATCTTTTAAAGGTCAGGTGAAGGAGAAGAGACTAAAAAAAAAAAAAAAAAACAAAACAAAACAAAACAAAACAATAATACTACAAGAGGCGAGGAGGAATGGAACTGAGGAGCTGAGTGATGAGCCGTGGTCAGTCCCCAGGTGATGTTCAGGCCATCAGGCACTCCTTTCAGCAACTCACGGCAGAACCTATGGACCAACTGCGGGATTAACCTTACGTGCATTTAGTGTTTCTCCCCAGTGTTAGCACACAGTATAACTCTGTTATGCTGCTGCAGCTGATGTGGAGCTCTCATAGCCTTTGTCACACAGATTTTATCTGCTTCCTGCCCCATGGCTTTCCCTTTGATATTTCAAGGACATCCTATTCACAAGTCCTGGTTTCCCAGCTTTTTGCTGTGTATACAGTGAGTACAGCTAGACCAAAAGGGAACAGAGGCCGCTGTAAAGAAAGAAGATGCAACTTTCTGTTTCTAGGGATGGTGTGCATCTAGACCTGATATCTTTTGTAGAAGCCCTGAAGTTGCTGCAAATTTGCCATTTCCCAGCTATTCCCATGGGCTAATGGCCAGACAAGCTTCCCATTTTTTTTTCAGAATAGGGCTTTTCTTTTCCCATTCTCTGATATAGCCTCTAGATCGAGTTCTCCTCAGGGAGAGAGACGATAAGGCATAGAAACTAGGTGGGTCCTGACCAATGCCCAAAACATAAACTGATGAGAGATGCAGCTGTTGTGTGCTGCTGTAATAATTCAAAGGTTTGATGCTCAGAATTGTGACCCTTGTATGGTTCTCTCATGACTTTGGGACTGGAAAATGGGTAGGTACCCAGAGATTAGCAGTTGCCTCCAATCATAGGTTACTCTTGACCTGTTGTTAGAAAATAGAAACTAAAACCTTTAAGGGGGGCTTGAAAATCCCAAGGTTATGTTGGAAGTCTATGGCAAAGCCTCAATCACTAAGGCATTATTGCATTTGGTTCCAGATCAGGAAATCCTTCCTTCTGTATCTCTCTTGTCTGAATCAGCCTGTCTGGTTACTCTGTGATTTCTTTTCATCTAATTAACTCATTTTCTGATAGCATCTTTCACAGGATCTACCAAGTTCTGCCAAGTGTTTAGAGACCAAAGCATAATTCTGCCAGATGTTTGCCTTCATCTATGAATTACCCCTTTAAGTAAAAATCAGGATGGTAGCTGAGGAAAAAGGGGACAGCTGCAGTGGTAGTGTTCCCAGAACTTCATACGTGAGGTTTCAGTATCAATTTCTTGGGCTGGGACAAGGGTTTCAGAAACTAATGCTGATACTGTGCTGTGAAAGAAAAAAAATGCCATCGTTGTCATTATTCGCTGGTTTCTGGACAGCTGTCATAAAACTGTAGCACATTAAATTCTGATTGAATACAGGGAAAAGTTCTTAAAAGCAGATTTGGGAGGCTTTCTCTTGTGAGGACTGATAGATTGCTACTGAGTTTTCTTAAAGAAAGACTACATATTTGGTCTAAGGATTAGGGGAGGGAGTGTTGGTGGTTTTTTTTTCTTTTTTGGTATTGCCTCATTGGCAGAGAAGATGATGTTTTCTTTAATGAAATAAGAACCTAATCTACATAGTGCATGACTTTCCCCCTTTTCTCTTGATCAACTCAACAGAGGATTTGGAGGAGGGATGGAGCAGGAGCAAAGCTATGAATTAAAGCACAGCCTTCTCAACAGAGCACCAATATCACATCCGTGTTCACCCCAGCACTTGCCAGCACCTCCTAGTGATGGTATTTACTATGTACAGAAGAGAAACACGTCTTCCTCACCTTCAATCTGATCAGGGGTGAACTCAACCTGGAAAAGACAAAGAACAAAAGCCAGATAAAAACGGAAAACTGAAGCAAAGAAGACTGTGTTAGTCTCTGTGTTATGGTTCTGGATGTTTGTGAGGTCCATGAAAGAGACTGACTCATAAATCCAAGAAAATTATTTTATAGAGCCTGTAGATTGTTCTTCTTTGTTCCTCTGTCTTCCATTATCAACCAGTCCCGCCTTTAGGACCTCTGCCCCCACCACATGCTTACAGATGCCCTTTTTCCATTATTCTGCTGCTGCTGTGTTCATGCTATAGTCTTTTTTTCCCTATCCCAAATGACTCCCCAGAGGGAGGATGATGTCCCCCTCCAGCCATAATTATGGTAGTGCCATAGTAAATCCCAGGCTACTTCACTGAAAAGGTTTTATATGTGGAGAGATAGGTATCTACACTCCATGGTCTTTCCCAGAAGAAAAACTATGGGGTATCAAGTGAAGCTGCTGTGAATCGGAGTCAGAGGAAAGTGAAGGAAGTAGTTCTTTGCTCTTACAGCTGAATTGTGGAAAGCTAGTCATGGGATAATGTGAATGCTCACAGTCTACATGTGTGTAACGGTCATGGGACCATTTCCTGGAAAAGAAATCCATTTCTGTACAATACAAAATGTGCAGAAATACTTAGCTTAAGAAGTCTCTGCTGGAGATTTAGGAGAGTGTTTCTGGGAAGTTTTGACCAGGTCTTGTACCTTTTCCTAAAGCATCCTTTAATAACCACTGCTGTACTATATTGGACAACTCTCTGGACCTTGCTCTGATCCTGCCATCTCTTTTTTTTTTCTCATCACAGAATCGTAGAGCCATGGAATCAAAAAAATGGTTTAGGTTGGAAGAGACCTTAAAGATCATCCAGTCCCAACCCCCCTACCATGGACAGGGATATCTTCAACTAGACCAGGTTGCTCAAAGCCCTGTCCAACCTGGTCTTGAACCCTTCCAGGGAGGGGGAAACCACAGCTTCTCTAAGCAACCTGTTCTAGTGTCTCACCACCTTCACAGCAAAGATTTTTTTCCTACTATCTAATCCAAATCTACCCTCACTTCATATTTCCTCATGTTTCTTAATTTTTAGGGTTGTCCCGCTCCCTATTTTTACATGGCACTGCCCTCTAGCAGCTCTAGACTCTAAAAATGCTCCAAGATTCCCACAGGCTGCTTCTGAGATCAAAGGCAAAAGAAGGAAACACAGTGTCAGGATGTGAGGTCCAAGCTTCTGAATGAACAAGCACAGATCAGCAATGTGAATTTACATCAGAATTTACACCTCCTTCTCGCAGAAAACCAACAGGGTGGGTGTCTCTGCTGATGGGGACATTCCTGCAGTGCAGGAAGACTGGCAGATCGCCTTCATGGTGAATACATAAATAAAGAGAAACCATATTTTAGTATGCATGAACATGCAAATGCGTACATGCTAAGCATGCTTGGGACAAATCTAACAGTACATGAATACACATCTTTGGAAGCATTCTTCTGTGGATATGTATGACCTTTTCCCCCTCCCCAACATATGTACAAGCCCACACTTTTTGGGTCAGATTTTCCTTATGAAGCTGACCACCTCTCATTGTTGGCAAAGCAGCCAAGTGGAAGAAAATTATAGTGAGAATCTCAAACGCAAGCTTGCCGTTTCCTTGATTCAAGGTGAAACGCAATGTGACACATCCCTTCGTCACCTACTTGGGATTTTCATAATATTAAATGGTGGAGCTGTTGTAACTCCCCAGCCGTCCAGCCAGGCTGTCTGTGACATGGCAGAGCATGACAACACCAGCATCTTTATTCCACCTAGGTCTCTCTGGAGAGCTCCTAGATGCTTTTTTTGTCTCAGATACCCCAAGCAGCACAAGGAGCTCTAACATTCACAGGACAATATGAGGGTCTACAGGGCAGATACAGGCAGCTCCAACCTCTTATTTCCTATCAGTGTCCTGCCTATCTGTCCCCACCATAGTGTCTCTGAGCATCTTCTGGCTTAGGAGGACGAAGAACCAGAACAACTCTGGTGGATTTGGAAGGTGGGACTCGACACTAATCCTGCAATTGTTGAAAATCAGGCCACTATTTTTGTGTCTGTGTGGCTCAATCCTTATCTGAACTAGCTCAGTCAGGGGATAACCACTTTGTTGGCAATTCTCAGACATAATTTAGCTTGAATGAAATCCAATTAATAAAATAGTTGCCTAAGTGGCAGCCAGGAGGCTGTCTGGAAGGAAGCATTTAAGGAATGCAAGTAAGGAGCCCCTAAAAGAATAGCAATGCTCTTCCCTTTTCTAATACATGGAGGGGTCCAAACACATCTATGTCATGAAGATTACAATCATGTAGATTGAGTCTTATCCCAAATCCACATGCCTTTGTTTAATTAGAAACAAATACCCATAGGAGAACACATTTATACAGGTGCATTGTCAGCAGCAACCTTATGCCCAATGTGTCTAATTATATCAAGCTTTGAGAATTTGACTGAAGATAATTGCATATTGAGTTTATTCAGGCATCAATAGCCAGTGTGGGTGAAATAAGGCCAGAGCTGCTGGCAACTCATATTTAAATCGCTATGATGGATGGCTCCTGGGGAAGAATCCATCTCAGCTACATTTAGATATAGAAATTCAGAAATGTCAGTGACCCTACATTTGCTTTATACAAGTAGAGGGGAATGGGCACTTCTAGGGTGTGACTTGACTTGATTTAGGTCTATACATAGGAAGAAGATGAGTTATGCTCTTCTCTTCACTGAGTGGTTCAATCAGTTCTACAATGACGTTAAAGAGTGTGGGCAACTAACACACATGTAAACGTCCTTTTCTGATCTGGTGAGCCCCACTCAGAAGGACCTAGCCCTTTGGCAGACTGTAGACCAGGAGAAACTGAGCCAGAATGAAAAGGATGACTGCAAATTCCCACAGCTGGATCAAAGGGAAGGTTTGAGCTGAAGGGCTGAGCGTGCCTCACCACTAATCAGGGCTCCTATAAAAATACCAGCCAGAGCTGGAGGACCATATGTGATGGCTGGCCAGGCAGTGGCAGATAGTTTGACCAAACCTACCACCCAGGCACGGCTTCCTCTCAGAAAAGCTGCAGAGATGTGTGGGTGGCGGCAGCTGCTGCTATTTTCTCCCCTCTCAGCACATACCACGGTGGAGTTGTAAGGAAAGGCAAGTCATCATTTACCCAGCCACAAGGTATCGTTGAAGATGGATGGAACAAACCCTGGGTTATGTTTAGACTGAAGACGGTTGGGGTTTTGTTTTCCCTCCCCTCTCACTCAGAATGGTGTGGAGCACACAAAGCTAAAGCCATCTTGGAGCAAGAGCAAGGTGGAGCTGACTGTGAGGACAACAGAGTTGCTGCCCCAGAGAACCCAGTCAGGAGGGGTCCAGAGGACAGGCTGTAAAAATGGGGTCAGGCTAAGGCAAGCAGTGGGCAGAGGTGTCCAAATCCATTGCAACCACAGGCAGTGACCCCACACCCGTGCTCTGAGTCAAATCTACTTCTGCTGCTCTACTGCAGTGAGCATCTAAGGGAGTGGAAGCCCCCAGGCACTCACATCACCACACACCAGCATCACTCCACACTTCACTGAGCTCGGGAAGCAGAGCAGACCTCAGCACCCAAAGCTGGAGGCTGCAAAACTTACTCACAGGCTTAATGTGAAACTGCTTTTCCAGATATGGCTTTAGATTCTCCAGTTTCTTGCAAGTAGACTAGGATGATTTCCCTTAGGGTTTTGTTTATTTGTTTGTTTGTCTAAATATACTGGCACTTCAGAATAATTGAGTTTCCCCTGGCATTTTTTCTGTTGGCAACTGAGGTTTTAAAGCAAGGACCTTCCTATGAGGGACAAGAATCCACAGCACCGAGGCTCACAGTGGTGGCATTTGGTACAAATCCAACTGAGAGACAGAGCTGCTGACAGCCGATCTCTCTCCACTCGTCTCCTGCCCTGATGTGTGTCCGTGCTACATGTTCTTTGAAGACATCAGATGTCTGAATTAAATCCTTTCCATAACAAATGGGAAGTGTTACGTCAGTCTCTCTACTGTTTTAGCAATCTTGACTTCAGGGGGTCATCACAAGGTCACTGGTGACATCGACTGTAGCCCCAATAACTACTGTCTTTTCTTAAACAATATCATTGAGCTGTTTTTGTCCCAGAGACACCAGGAGGGATGCGTGCACCTCTTGGCTTTGTTAATGTCATTCATAGCTTCAAATCTCAGGGAATTTTTTAATAAACCCACAGTATCTCAATCAAGCACACAACTCTGTGCATGATAAGTCAGACATAACTAAGTCTGAAATAAGTCCTATTAATAAAACTGTTGCTAACCAGCAGTCAAAAGTTTATCTGGGGGGAAGTATTTCGACAATGAAAAGAAGGAGCCCCTCCAGAAAATAAACAATATTCTTCTTGTTTCATACTATTCTGAGGAATCTTAATACAAACAGCAAGGTTTTCACTTAGCCATGGCAGGGCTACTTTTGGAGAAGGTGAAGGTTTGTTGTTTTGTTTTGTTGTTTTTTTTTTTTTTTTTTTTTTTTAATTGTGCTCTTAGGAGACCAATTTAAGAGGCAGAAATACAGCAGATGGAAAGAGGCCCGGAAGGCCATCAAGATCAGTATCAGTGTGTTGAGGTTACATTTGTATTTCACAAGCATAGGTTTTTTTCCACTAAGACCTTTTTAAACCTATTAATACACATCAAACCCATCATCCCCCCCTCCCATCACTTTCTGTGCAGAGTAATTATGATGTACATAAACTCCTCCGCTGTCCATGGGCAAACCTTAACACGTGGTCGTCTCATACAGCTCCATCCCTTACTGGTGTTTGATAGTCACTCCTGATCTCTCATCAACTCTGCTTTCTGAAAGCCTTTTGGTACATCTATATTCAGCTCCCAGGGTTGCCCTAAGGACTCTCCTCATTATTTCTACTCAGCTCATGGTCTCATGGGAGGTAAGGTACAGTACAG